TCTGCAACAAGTGCTTTATACTATTTTTTCTATTTAGCCGCTTTATATCATTTTATAAATTAAAAAACAAAAATTTTTTTTCTAGAGAATTTTGCGACGGTTGGCAACATTTATGTGGAATAATTGTAGGAGGCTGTAAAAAATAAAAATAATTCTTATTTTCACATTTCAAAATAAATTGTGAAGTAAGTCCGTCACTAAAATTAAATTAACGCCAACGACTTATTCCAGCACTCAAATGACGTCATTTGGGTGCTAGAATAGACTTATTTTAACACCGAAATAGAAAAAAGCTTTATAGACAGTTTAAAAATCGAGGTCGTAGCTAGGGAACGAGTTAGAGAGAACAAATTTAATATAGACTCAAAATTTAAACCATAAATTTTGTATTGTCTTTAAAATTCCTTCCAATACTAGTATTGGATTAAAAATTTTACTAAATTCTAAAATTTTTAAAAAGAAATTTGTCAAAACAATGTCAATGTCGTAGGCTAATTGTAAATTCAGTCGTTTTGAAAACGACTGGGCAAATTGTAACTGAATGCATAAATGCAGGGTTTTTACAATATGACGGTAATTTTAGGCGTATTATAAAAACCTAATAAGTTTTCGCTACGCCTATAGAATGTGCCGACATATATACAAGCACCTTTTACAACTTTATTGCTTAGCGCGAAATATCTATCAGCTTTTCAAAGTATATCCTTTCCTTCAGACTATTTATTCTTCCATGGTTAAGATAGACATTTAAAAGTAAATGTTTTTAGAAAAACAATTTAATAATTTCCTACATGTAGAAACAATACCTAAATATATGTTCCATTAAAAAGTTACATCCAAAAATGCCAAGAAGCATATGCTGTTTAATTTAAAAAAACCTAAGTTTGTATTTTAACATTTTTGGGATACGCTGTATAGTTGAAAATAATTTCAGGCCATGAGCTAGATTGGTATCTATCAATTTGGAATATCAATTTTTACATTAATTGATAAAGGATTCTGTTAATATGTGTAGTTACAATTGACACTGGTCTTCCCTACTAGAGTCCACATAAAAATAACTTAACATTAAAATCAAGAACCTACACTAACACTAAAACCGGTCTAAAAACATTCAGAAAAGTCATCTTTGAATAACAGTACTCACCAGGATATTGCCACAGTGTAGGCGTGGCTAATGTAGAACCATGTGTCCCACCCATCGACCAACCTGCCAATGCTGTGCTTCGATCGTCGGAGCATTGTAGTAAAGTCGCGCCTCCTGTCGTGCTTGCAGCCATACCTGCCGTCCCGCCTTCTCCTGAAAGAAATTTAAGGTAAGATTAGAAAAGCAGAAAGATCATAAAAAAACAAACAACTAACTGGACTCTGTTAATAAATTAAATATAACCTTTCTTGACGGCGAGGATATAATATTAAAAAATTAATTGATTTATTTCATAACAATACATATACAAATTTTAATTTAAAAGCATATTAATTTAATAGAGGTGTGATATGACTAACTTTTAATTAACCCTCATACTAAAAGTGTTCAATTAAATGTCATTGTTTGGATTAGAAAATACCGAAAATAATTCAAAAGTAACAGTAATTACATAAAGTCCTTTTTTTTAAACAATTGTCAATGTCAAAATTCCCTCAAAGACCAGACTGTACTAGCCTAAAACCTTTTTTTCGGAACAGCTGTATATTAAAATCTCCCTATAGAATAGTAGGTTTGAGGTTATGTTAGTAATCTTCAAATGTCAGAAAAGTTTCAAGTGGAAGCAAATTTTTTACCAAAAGACAAGAAATAAAGACGGTAAGAACACGGAAAAATACAACTCCTAACCGTTTAATTTATTTGTTGTTTTAAACAAAATCAAGTTTAAAATAGAGAAGGCCAATTTCGTATAAAAATTATGTTAATTAATTTTACTTTGAAAAACAGTTATTTTTTTAAATTAATAATGATTTGTTTTTTCATTCATGCATATTTTTCTTCAAGAAGTGGTTTGTTAAATTTTTCATTAAAAAATACATTTTCATTTAATTTGACGTTTAATTTTCCAAATCGTTTCCATCCTGCTCCTCGAAGATTTGTTTATCTCACCCAGCGAGCTCGCGAAACTGGTGAGCTTCGTCCCCATCATGCTCGTGATGGCGGACCAGATAGACAGCAAAGAATTCTAGAGACTGAGGAGCAGATATTAGAATTTATACAGGGTGCGCCAGAACTCGCGCCCCAGAGAAAATTTTCAAGTAAGGTAAGATACCAGGAACAAAATGATTAAAAAATTCTATCTGTCAAAAAAATTTGACATTTATTTTTTGACATTTGACATTTTTTTATATCTATTTAATGATACTGATGATCTTGTATATGTTTTTTTTTACAATTATTTAGTAAAGGGACAAAAATTTTGCCAATAAAAGCCACAAATAACATTGAACAGAGTTACAATTTAGGATACAGCTTCCTTGTTTCTTCTTTTAATAGTCTGTAGCAAAAAAACTTGGAAAATTATTTTTCCAACAGAAATAAATAGAGTCAAAGTGCAAACTTTAAACCCTCATAACTTTGAAATTTTTATAGATAAACTTTTTTTAACATTTTTTCCATGGTCCTAGTACCTTACCTTATATGGCATTTTTCTCTGAGGCCCGAGTTCTGGCGCAGCCTGTATATACAAAATGATCCAACCCAAAGTCGGTTAAGTAACTAATAGGGTAGTTTAGCGCACCCTGCGAGAGGATTTGCAACATCCGTATCATTTTCAAAGAGTGCAAGCACTGAACTCTGAAGATCCTGAATATACAGTCCACTATTTATACGTTTCAGTGTACAACATTTAAGATCCTTGATTTTTGTTTTGCCAAAGGTTCATGAAACCCCACGTGTCAGATAGTGTGTCTTGTCCAAAGTGAGTTACTAAATGTGTTTATCAGTTTTTCACAAAATTAGTATTAAAACTACCTATAGTTTTGTTTTCGGCTTAAGCAATATCGGGTGTTTCAAAAATGTGTGGCATAATTTTAACCACGAATACCCCTCTACAAATGAGAATAGAGAGTACAGTATTTACTGACCTAGCTCAAAAAATAGAAAAATTACAGCTTTCCAAAAATCGGTATGGAAAATGATTTTTTGGAAATATTTTTGTTATCGTTTATCCGATTATTATAAAATTTTGCATGTCAGGGGACAAAAAGACACTCTTTGATATGGTGTAAACGGAAGTCTTGTAAAAGCTATAGATATCCGGTGACAATGGGACCCTTCCAGTTTTTGGGTCATAACTCCTTTTTTCAGCCCATTAACAGATATTTTTGATGCCAAAAATCAAAAGCCCGATCATTTTTTCATAAAAAAGTACTGTTGTTAATATCGCTAAAATGTATCGTTCTCGAGTTATTTTGGTTTAAACAAAACTCTACACCGCGCTGCAAAATCAAAAAGTATGAATTTTGAGCGTATCATTACCTTGGAAACAATCCACCACGAATGACATAGCTGCAACTGCTGTGACATTTAATGTCAATTTTATTTAATCCAAGGTAAAATTTGATTACTTCTTGATGATCATAGTAAAACATACGATTATGTGTTGGAAGAAATAATGCATTAACCATTCCGGCCATCACAACATGATCTGAGAATACACCACGGAAATTTTTATTATTCAAATCTTTGTTTTTTGCGCTTTATGAAACAGCACAAGCGCCATCTAACGGCATTTGTTCCAATTGTGCTATTGGTTCTTGTTGTTCTTGTAATTTAAAAAAAAATGTTGATAAACATTAAACGTGCCTTATTCTTTACAAGTTTTTTACAAGTTTTAACAACAACAAATTACCATATGCTACTTCAAATGGTTGATAAGGTTTTTTTTTTGTAATTATTACAGTTTCAGTATTTTAAAGTTGAGGTTATGTTTGCTCGTTTTAATTTTTCATTTGGTTTATAGTTTAATAATGCAAATAATGAAATACGAAGAAAAAACAACAATTTGGAGGGAAAATCGTTTTACGGTGTGAAAATTTCCGTGGTGTATTCTCAGATCAGGTTGTGATGGCCGGGATGGTTAATGCATTGTTTCTTCCAACACACAATCGTGTGTTTTACTATGATCATCAAGAAGTAATCAAATTTTACTTTGGATTAAATAAAATTGACATTAAATGTCACAGCAGTTGCAGCTRTGTCATTCGTAGTGGATTGTTTCCAAGGTAATGATACGCTCAAAATTCATACTTTTTGATTTTGCAGCGCGGTGTAGAGTTTTGTTTAAACCAAAATAACTTGAGAACGGTACATTTTAGCGATATTAACAAGAGTACTTTTTTATGAAAAAATGATCGGACTTTTGATTTTTGGCATCAGAAATATCTGTTAATAGGCTGAAAAAAGGAGTTATGACCCAAAAACTGGAAGGGTCCCATTGTCACCGGAAATCTCTAGCTTTTACAAGACTCCCGTTTACACCATATCAAAGAGTGTCTTTTTGTCCCTTAACATGCAAAGTTTCATAATAATCGGATAAACGATAACAAAAATATTTCCAAAAAATCATTTTCCATACTGATTTTTGGAAAGCTGTAATTTTTCTATTTTTTGAGTTAGGTCAGTAAATACTGTGCTCTCTATTCTCATTTGTAGAGGGGTATTCGTGGTTAAAATTATGCCACACATTTTTGAAACACGCGATATTTGTGTAGCCTTATAAGTATGGTTTTTGCCGAAGTTTTTTTTTAGAAAACGGCGCGCTGCGCCTTTTGTAAAATCTTGCTTAAGTGCTTAAATATAATGTACTTGACTTTCTAGGTATATTTAATCAATTCTAGTTCTCATTATTATTCAGTAAGAGATTTCTTTGCTGGTTGAGCTATACAATATCAGTTCATACTATGCATTTCATTGATACGAGTTACGATCGCTCTCGGTCTTTTATGTTGTGTTGAGTTTGAGTTTCCACTGATCAAGAGAAAGAGAACAAAAATGCCAAAAAGACCAAATAAAAAACCTTTAGGGGCTTATTACAAAAAAATTAAAAAACATACAATTAAAGCAAGCTAGAATTGCCAAGTTCTTAACAAATTTTGTTCAAGCCAAGTCTGATGAAGTGATGAACTAAGTAAGAGAGACAAGTAAAAAGGCTACAGTGGTGAGTTTTAACTTTTGTTTGTAGCTAACGAATCAAGGCCATGAGGAAGTATTGTTTGCTTCTACGACGAGTTGGTCCGCCTCTTTGGAAGAATCGATGAAAAATTTCCTCAGATTCTACAAATGCGGATTTATCTTACTTTACCAATAACAAGTGCATCTTGCGAAAGGTCTTTTTCGAAATTAAAACTAGTTAAAAACTATCTAAAATCGTCAATGGCACAAGGGTGTCTATCAGGTTTAAGCATTTGTAAGTATTGAAATAGATATTGCACAAAATTTAAATTATGATAAAATAATACACATTTTAATCAGTTTATAATAAATTTGTAGCGTTTGTCAAAAATGACAATAATGATATTGATGATATGAGTAATAATAGGCATCGTGGACTGAAATTATAATTTTTTTAAAAGTGTCGCAAAGCAACGGGCGAAAGTGTAATGGTAGTTGCATCGAGAATTTGGTCAGTCTCATTATTCCTCGTGAATCACCCTGTATAAACTTACCTTTAGGTTAACACATTTAAAGTAAGCGCATGCACTATCCTGTTGCAAACGTTAACTCCACGTTTAGTTCCAATGTTGCATCCATCTTATTGGAAAAATCCATTAAAAGATGCACCCCTTTCAGGGGATGTAGCTCCCTTGTACAGGTGCGCCAGAACTCGCGCCCCAGAGGAAAATTTCAAGTAAGATAAGACACCAGGAACATGAAAAATATGTTTAAAAAATTCTATCTGTCAAAAAATGTTGACATTAATTTTTTGACATTTGACATTTTTTCATGGCTATTTAATAACACTGATGATATTGTATATGTTTTTTTTTATAATTATTTAGAAAAAGTACAAAAATTTTGTCAATAAAAGCCACAAATAACATTAAACAGAGTTACAATTGAGGATAGAGCTTCCTTGTATCCTCTTCTATTAGCCTGTAGCAAAAAAACTTGGAAAATTATCTTTCCAACAGAAATAAATAGTCAAAGTGCAAAATCTAAACTCTCATAGCTTTTAAATTTTTATAGAATTTTTTTAACATGTTTTCCATGTTCCTGGTATCTTACCTTACAAGGCATTTTTCTCTGGGGCGCGAGTTCAGGCGATGTTTATAGGAAATTTTAACCTTAAAATTGATTATTCTATCGCCTGGTTAAATTTGTAACAGTAAAAACGGAACACCTGTATTTACATCCATTTTTTACAGTGACTTTATGTTTATATTCTAGGGCGCATTTCAGGAAAATATGTTTGATTATACAGGATGTCCCAACAACATGTAACATCATAATGATTCATTTTTTTAAATGGCATGTTTATTATTTTCTGTGCTCATTAGGATGCCTTTTTAGTTATTTACATATCCCAATTCTTTTTGCAATAGGTAAAAACCAAAAAAAATCGGTTTTGTACCTTTACTTTTAAAAATTAATAAAAAAAAAGGAACAGTGCCCTCTTAATGAAATTAATACTAGGCACTGATTAAATAAAGTCTAAAGTCTTGTTGATCAAGTTTGGTTGATACGAAATACTACAGGCTGTGCACAATTTACTATCAAACGTTTTAAACTTAAAAGCTTGTTATTAGAAAAAAAGATATTTGGTGTTTTTGGACAGCTTATTGAAAATAAATACAATTTTTCGGCAATGTTTCGATTTCTTTATTCAATCTTCCTCAGGCCGTCAATTGTTTTATAAACGGGTAGCGTAAAGCAAGTTTAAGCCGTATTGAGTCTAACTCGAAGAATAAAATGTTGTATTCAACTCGTTTGAGTGTAAATCGGACGCTTTATTCCACCTCGTTACACTCGTGGTTTAATAACCCACTCGGTGAGATAATCCGTCCGATTTACACTCAAACTCGTCGAATAAATAACTATTGTTTCCAATAGTCAGTCCAAAAACACCATATACCTTTTTTCTCTAATATTCTGAAATAAAATGAACGATAATATATTAGAAATTAATAGCTTTTATCGGTTTCGGTCTGTTAAGAGCAATGTTACATGCACAAAAATAGTCTGGTAACTATGGCATAACCTTATTTTAATTATTTAATTTTAATTTAACAATTTTACAGTATCTAAATGTCATTTTTACTGAAATATTAATATTGTAAAATTGTAGTAAACTCGCTCGGACTTCAAATTGACATCTGCAGCTGTCATTACATCCTAGAATTTTTGGATTTAATTTGTTTCAATTTTTGGATTTAATATTCTGGTAAACAAAAAGTTCATCAAACATGTAGGGTTTATGAAATTTTCGATTACTTCACAGTTTCTCTAAAAAACAAATTTAGTGTAATTTACACACACAATATAAAATAGTCTCTTCACATCAATGAAATGAAACACCAACTAATGTGAAACACCAACATACCATGTCTAACTTTAATTCAACGTTCCCATCACTGCAACAATAACAAAAGTGAAAAATAATATGTATCAAATCAAGCAAGCACCAACAGGGAAATCATTGGATATTTAAGAAAAAAATTAAACCATAGAAAGAAAATTAGAAAAATCGTTCTCAGATGCAATCGTTGATTTTGAATAGTTCTTGAACTACTATGTATGCACTATCAATCAGAATATAATAAATGAAAGCCTTACCGACTTCGGATACTCTTGCCACGTCTTTGATTTGTGCAGCATTGACCGTGGTGAGAAGTCCGGCGGGTGGTAACGACGGAGAGCCGATAACTTCTTGTTGTTGAAACCTTTGCCTTGCCACGGCGATCCCAACAGGTATATTTCCATTTGCAAAATCTTAAAAATATAAAAGTATTTAAGAATATATTCATATATGATTTATTTACAAAACTAAATAAAATAAATAAAGTTATGATGAATCCCAAAAACACTATTAAAAATTGCAGTCGAATCAAGGCGATGTACCTAATCATATGAGTAAAATAACGAAAAGATTTGTGAAGGAAACAAAACGATAGGTATACGAGTATAGCCGTATCCTAAGTTTCATCAATACTACTTCCTCGTAAGCGTATTTTTGCTCCAATTAAACAATTTTTACTTTTATTGGATTGCTCCTCTGAAGTGGTGTCATAGTAACTTTAGCGCACTTGGCCTCTAAAGATATACAGAGTGGTTATAAATGATTTTCATCTAACCAGCTTTGAATTTTCCATGTAAAATAAAACATGCCGCTTTACGAAAATAGGGGTACCTACTTGTTTTAACTCAAAATTAAAAAATCGCCGTTTACTAAGCGTCCACTTCGAAAATAGACTTCAATTATAAACTTGTTTTCTTCCAAAGCATACATCATTATCAATTGTTATTGGAAATTAGTTGAAACAATAAAAGTTTAATTAACAACCATTTATTATTAATTAATAAGTGACACTAATGACAGAACTAGAGCTTTCAAAAAAGTAGAGCGGCACAAATAAAGTTACATGCAAAAAAATTCCAAAGCTGGCTAGATGAAAATCATTTATAACCACTCTGTATATTGCGGCGTTCCTTTTTTTGTAACAACCAACTCAAAACTGACTATAACATTCACACGCAAATGTTTAGTGAATATTTAAACAAATTTTAAATCAATTTGTGGTTTAAAAAACTCATAAAAAGAAATGTTGTATGCAACAAGTAGACAAATAGTTTTATATGGGACGGCAAATGCACTCTGTGCATATTATATGCACCACTAGGGTGCATATGTTATAGTACCTGGTGCATATGAAATGTTAAACTGTGCGCCAATTTCTTGAAAAATCTAACCTCAATCCTTAAGTTAACATAATACATATGATGTCATGATTTAAGGCTAGACGCTGGGCCATCTAAAATTGTCTTCCATTTTTTAAGGTTCTTAATTGCCAGATTTTTTTCAAAATTTGGCAATATCTTTAAAAAAAATATTCTTTTCGTGGTCGTACCCTTAGATAGATAAGGTTAAAAGTGGTCTATAACTAAATATATAAATTTTTCAATTTATATACTTGATTTGACATCTGTCAAATAAAAATTAACCTTTTCAATAAATTCACGACCTCTACTGCAGCACTCAGCTTCGCTTCGTGCCGCAAAATTCGGTCTCAGACCTGAAAAATAATTTGACAGCGTACTTGTATCGAAAATAACTATTTTATCGTAGCAGGCTTTAATTTATTATTTTTTTAAGAAAAAACATCTTTGACACTGAAGGAAAAATTTTTTTTTATAAATGAAGTACTTTTTCAAAAAAAAAAATATTGACGCTTTCAAATTTTAAAAACAATGATTCTTTTAATCAGAATATGATCAAAACTAAATCTATCAAAATCGGAAGAACCGCTTACAATTTATTTTGGAACGTAAAACACTGTTCAAATTAACTCCTCTTCACAGCTGTTAGAACGGGATAATTTTCGCTTCGTTCTGTTATATTAGGGTTTATACCTGCTGGAGTGGAGTTTTTTTGCGGCTTACTGTTTCTAACTTTGGAGCAGTGTGTAAAGAGAAAACTACCACCGATCCAAAAAACTAGTTCTAATCGTTCTACTTAGCTCAGGATTTGGTAGTAGTGCTGCCACTCTTTGGGGCAATGAGTATGAGGACATTGTTTTATTGAAATATTTTTTTTAATAAAATCCTGAATTAAGTGATCTTTAATAATTAAAAAAGTTAAAGTTGCTTAGCGAAACAACATATTACTTACGTAAAGCTCATTCTTGTACAAAAACTAATTTGAACTAATTTTACAAATTTCAAATACAAATTACAATACTTCCATCCTAGAAAAAAAATCAATGCTTCAAAGCACGAGCACAGCAGTTTCCCAAGCAAAACTGACCCTTATTTGCATATTATTGCTAAATAAGGAAATGTGACCATCAATTTCAGACTTTTAGTCAATTTTAAAACGTGCAGTCGACTATATCTCTCAACTGAAAAAGTTATTGAAAATCACTCAAAACCGTTTTAGTGGTTTCTAGGGAAAATCAAAATGACATGGTAAGTGACGCACCTCCATCCACCCTTGAATTAATTTTAAAAATAAAAATTTAAAGGCTTTGTTATTAATAATTGAAAAAACGGCTTTACCAAATAGGTTGTTGTACGACATTTTTGAAAAGCCCTTGTTATGAGCCTTGTAACGATGTATCATAAGTAGGGTCATGTCATTTCAAATTTTCAATTTGGTGTGGCTGTGGCTTCAAGGGTGGGTGGAGGTGCGTGACTTATTTTGTAATTTTGATTCCCCCTACGAACCACCGAAACGGTTTCGGGTGATTCTCGATAACTTTTTCAGTTCTAGAGATATTGTCGATTGAAAGTTTTAAAATTATCACCCTGTATATTAAATGTCTATAAGTAAATAACCAAATTCATATTTCAAATGGTTTTACATAGTGTCCCGGTTTTATTTTCTAAATAAAAGTGAATTTCTGGTAGTAGCATGGGTCAAATCATAAACCCATTGTAGTGACATTATTCCATCTACAAAAGTATAAAAGCACATTACACTTTATAAAACTGTCATTCATTTAAGTTAGGGTTTGCTTTAGTCAACGTGGACTCGAAGTGTCACTTATAAATTTCTACCAATGACTAAACTGCTTAGGCTTAGGTACGGAAATTCGAATTGCTGTCTCTTTTTTTATGACACTCCAGAAGTAAACGTCCTACCCACTTGAAATCGGAATTTCGGCAAAACCAGCGTCTTACCCGTCCTAGGCTGAGAGTGAAAATCACGAAAAAGTTATAGAAGATAAAGATTGATTTAAATATTTAAATCTCTTTTTAATATATTTTAAGTTTTAAATTTCTTATTTTTATAAAAAAATAAATTACCTTTATCTTATCTCTAGTTTTAGAAAAATTCTCCCATTAAAATTTCCGTTCCTTCGACGGCTCGTCTTTATTCACGATTTTCCCCCTAAAACTCTATTTTGCGTACTTGATACACAAATAGCTATACAGGGTGCGCCAGAACTCACGTCCCAGAGAAAAATACTATATGAGGTAAGAGACCAGGAACATAGGAAAAATGTTAAAAAAAATTATCTATAGGAATTTCGAAGTTTAAATTTTGCACTTTGACACTAGTTATTCCTGTTGCATAGGTTATTAAAAGAAGAAACAAGGAAGTTGTGTTATAAATTGTATTTTTGTTATTTTATTTTGTTATTTTGAATAAAAAGCTTTTCAATTTTTTGATTAATTTTGCACTCCTCCCATTAAGGGACACCTCTTCACAACGAACAATTAAAGATTACCCATCGGTGTCCGTTGTTGAGAGGTTTTACTGTATTTAATTTTTATCACAGCTTCCTTGATTAATGAAGGTTTACCTTCAAGCGGCTGGTCGCATTGCAAAAAAAGTAATTCTGACATAATACCATACACAACATAGTAAACATGTTGTTATACTATATATGTTGTCTATGCAGCGTGCTCTAATGTGTCGCCATCTTTTAGTGTCTTTCGAAAACTTCACTTGTTACCATAGTCACCACATTAAAGTAAAATCGTTTTCATAAGACCTACTAAAAATTTTTTGACACATTATAAGAGATTAACCAAACAATGGCTTGAATTTTTAACCCTCCATAAATGGCACGTTCCTTTGCAAGTGTTGCTGCATCCACTAGAATAAAACAGGGCCGTATTTAAAACTAAAGTAGTGGGTAGAGTTTTACCAAGCTATTATTAAAAAAAAATCAGCTTTATTTAATAATAGCTTGTTAATAAAAACCTGGCTTTTTTAAATTTCTTAAAATACTTGACTTTAATAACAACTACATCAAAAACTGTTAAAACATTTCAAGTATTTTAGACAAAAAGAAAGTAAGTAATCCGGCTCTGTTAAAAACTGACCTGTTTCAGAGTCCGGGTAGGCTCCACTAATTTATGATTTGTTTATCCTTTGGTTTACTCTTAACAATACCGCATTGAACTTAAAAGTAATACAATTTTTAGTAGGTCTTAGAAAAACGATCTTACTATACGCGGTAAACATCGTAATTATTTGAAGTTTGAGCTAGGAATTTGAATTTTATTACAATGCCTCGCAAAACAAACAGGTTGCGTAAAATATTGTGAACCAAACGAAAAAGCTTCGTAGCCTTCCTTGCCGGCAAATTTTGTATTAGATTTAAAATAGAAAGAAATTTTGGTAAATCATACAAATATTCGTTTTAATTTTTATACATATTTTTAGTTCACCGTTCAAAATATTATTAGACCTACAATTAACGGATTACACAAGGCGACAAAAAAAGTCATGTCGTGACAACTTGACAAATTTTATATCATTTTGTTCGTCTCAGTTCGACAAATCAAATGCACTAAAAAATTTCAAAAAGTCCACTTTGAACTAAATAATTTTTTTATAATTTAAATGAATTTAAAATACTTTAACTTTAAAAAATCATTACTCAATAACTATTAGGCCGATTTCCTTCAAATAAAGACCATTCTAAAGGGATGAACTTGCCCTTTAGAATTATGTGCAATTTGAAATTGAATATTGGCAAATCTTTCTTCAAACAGTGTTCGAAGAAGTTCGAAGTAAATCGAAGTAATCTAAGAAACACCCTACGACTAATTTTTTTTCTTCGTCATCATCGTGTAGAGAATCTCTTTGGTAGTAAGAATCCAAATTTTTAAAACAATATACCGAGTAGTTTTTAAGATATGATTTTTTGAAGTTAATTCAGAAAGCTAGAACAAAGTGAACAAGTCGAAATCTGAATGGAAAGTGATTTGATTTGAAAAAGATTTGTTCTTATATTTAAAGCTATTGCTTCAAACTTCTAGATCCTTTTTGCTCAATGATCAGTGATCATTTTTAGAACAAAAAAAACTCTTTATTTGCTTTAATTAGTACGCAGGTACTTTTTATTTGTTTTAAGGAAACAAACAGTTTTTGTTTATTGTAATTAGAACAAAGAAGGTGCAATTGACCATTTTTAAGCAAAAGAAGAGTCGTAAAACAAATACTTTTATAAAAATGCAATTTTAAGTAAGATTAACATGCATTACTCCTATATGGAGCAATGCTTGATTAGCAAACCATAACTTTAAAAAATCATATCTTGAAAACTGCTCGGTTTATTTTTTTGAAAATTTGGATTACAACTAATAAAGAGATGCTCTACACGATGGTGACGAAGAAAAAAAATTAGTCGTAGGGTGTTTCTTAGATTACTTCGATTTACTTCGAACTTCTTCGAACACTGTTTGAAGAAAAGTTTGCCAATATTCAATTTCAAATTGCACATAATTCTAAAGGGCAAGTTCATCCCTTTAGAATGGTCTTTATTTGAAGGAAATCGGTCTAATAGTTATTGAGTAATGCTTTTTTAAAGTTAAAGTATTTTAAATTAATTTAAATTAGAAAAAAATTATTTTGTTCAAAGTGTGTGGACTTTTTAAATTTTTTTTTGTGCATTTGATTTGTCTCACTAAGACAAACAAATTGATATAAAATTTGTCAAGTTGTCACGACATGACTTTTTTTTGTCGCCTTGTGTTATACACTCATGTGTGAGGAAGTTTCATTACAACTGGAAAACGACGAAAATTAGTTTCAAGCATATTTGAGATTTATTTATAGAGAAAAAGCCCGCGGTCGCCAGACTTCCGTCATTTTTTAAAAGTTGAAAATTTGTCAGTGCATACTACCAACACAAGAAGGAACCATGAGCAAGTATGAAGTTTGAGTCATCGTGGCTTTGGGAGGTAACAGGTAGCAAAGAAGTAAAAAATACCTACTTAAATTTATTGAATAAAAAACCGTAATTTTGTTATATTTTCTTCGGAACAATTTTAGAAATCACCTTATCCATTGCCAGACACTTAATATCGTGGCAACCCCTTGTCAGAAACCCTTAAACTTTAATAAATTGCAACTGTACTTACGTTATAGTGTAAAAGCTGAATTTTAGACATGTTACTTTGGTAACTATTAGAAGATGTTTTCTCTGTGCCCAGACAGTTTTGACAGTTCTAACCCTCGGCCAGACAAACATATAAGGTAGCTGTAGGCTTCCCATGATGATACTTTGTCAAAACTGAATCAACTTTATTTTATAAACAGCACTTAGAACTGTCGAAACTGTCTGGCTGCTGAGATGGTTATCTAAGTAACATGTATAAAATTCAGTTTTTATACTATAACGTAAGTACAGTTACAATTTATTAAAGTTTAAGGGTGTATGACAAAGGGTTGCCACGATATTAAGTGCCTGGCAATGGATGAGGTGATTTCTAATATTATTCCGAAAAAAATATAAAAAATTATGCTTTTTTATTTGATAAATTTAAGTTGGTATTTTTTGACTTCTTTGCTACCTGTTATGTCCCAAAACCACGATGACCCAAACTTCATACTTGGCCATTGTTCCTATACCAGTGTTGGTAGTATGCGCTGACAAATTTTCAATTTTGATAAAATGACGAAGGTCTGGCGACCGCAGGCTCTTAGACTATTATTTCTTCTTACATTATGCTTTTTTATTCATTATTACAAATTTTTAATTAAATACTGAACTGAAAACGAAATATAGTATATTAAGTATTCTTTTCATATTCATCTTTTTAGTTTCAAAATATAACAAAATGTCAGCTAGCAAAAATTTTTAACTTAACTTACCGGTACCATTAATGCTGGAATTCGAAACAATATTTTGGTGTCTTTCATTCGTATTTTTTGGTGACGTCACTTCTAATTTAACCACTGGCGAAACACTAGTTGTTATTTCAGCGACTTGACAAGGAGTCGATCCTGGTTCTTTTTTCACGTTAACACCACTCCAGTCTATAGGATTCGTTCGCGAACACCCGTTAGCACTTTCAGGAAACTTTTTAAGGGGAGAACCACTTCGACAATCGCAGGGTTTTTGAAGTTTTAAACTGCAACATTTTTCATCACACCGTTTGTCTTGCAATTTCTTTGGACTGATTGGGTAATCAGGTTGCTGGATGATGATGTTTGAATTGAAACCTTTGGTCAGCAATTCAAGTTGCGTTACAGGTACAGGCGAATATGGAGATCCTGGAGGAGGGGTTGGTGCTCCAAAGGTGTACCCAGCAGTGGAAAAGAGTGAATCTAAAATGAAGCAACAATCTAATGTTAAACAAAGATTTGTTGAGTTGTCTAAGAAAAAACTTACAACCTTTTGGCAAAAAAATCAACATTTTGCAAAAGGTCTCAAAAAAAATCTACATAGAAATATAACCCCAAAAATTACTTCAGTTGAAAAGTTTAGCACTTATTATCGTAGGTTTTATTCATTTTTGTCACATTATTCTGAAAATTTAATAAAAAGAGCGGTTACAGTCTGTCAGTTTACGTTAAAAGCACAATTGTTACAGATTTTTATCACCGAATCAAACTGTAATTGAAGTTTTCAATTCTTGCTTGTAATAATAATTATCGAGCAAATTTTAAATTGATCGAAAATATAAAGCTTCACATGCAATTCTCTTTCTTACTTCTTACTCACTTTTGGATTTTTATGTAAACGAATACGAACAGGCTAATTAAGTCAAGTAATTGATATCTTAACCTTTTCATATTATAATTAATTGGTCAATTTGTATCACAAGAACTTTTTAAAGTAACTACTTTAATCACAATGAGCAAAAGTCATTGCATCTAAAAGTAATACGAGTAGAGATAAACAAAGATATACCGTGCGATCAAAAAAAAAAAATTAGAGTAGGCGTCGACTAAATTCTACAGTTGGCAACACATTGGCTGGAAATCTGGGCTGAAAATTTTCCCCACAAACTGAAAAAGAAAATGATCATTCACCGTTTTCGTCTTGTAGAGCAATAAAAATTTTCTGCTCTAAAGTGAACATTGTTTCACTCAAAAGGAATGAAACGCAAAACGTCAAAGTTTCCGCTGACATTTGATGTCAAAAATCAGGATTGTCATCTGAGGAACTTTAATCACCGCCTACTCTAATTTTTTTTTTAGATCGCACGGTACTTTTATACTAGTCTTACTAAATATGCTTACTATACAGACTATTCCACAAAATATAAAGCAATATTTAAACCTCAAAAATGACCTATAAAATGATGTTAATTTAAATAATAACTCGTGTGCTATCTTTATTGATAAGAATTTTACAGCCCTCGGAACTTGGGTATGGAATTTTTTTTGTAATAACTCCGGAACCATTATTTGACCAAATATAAAATTTTGAACAGTTGCTTGCGAGAATATACCTTTAAACTGGTAAATTATTTATAAATTAAATGATTCGAGATCCATTTGGATTTATTCTAGATTACTTTTTTATCTTTTTTTAGTAATAATAATTTATTTGCAATTGTTTGATTACAAAATATACATAATTATGACAAAAAAAATTAGAATAAAAAAATTACAAACAAAAGACAAACGTCAGGGAAGTTGTTCAGTTCTCCTACTTCATTCCGATAAATTAGATTTCTTTCTTTTATTAAAAATATAAAAAAAAGTTGTTGGTTATGTTATATGTCTATCTGCGTTCAATTTCAAAGTTGAAAAATGCCTGACAGCGAGTTGTGCGACCATGATCATTCGTTGCCGTGAATATCATTAATTCAAACTTAATACTTTTTGCTTTCAGCGTTGTGCAGTCTTCACGTTAAATTAAAATACCTTTGAAACGGTCTACTTTAGTGATATAATATATAGGGTAATACATGCGTTTTTTATTTGAAATTGATTACTCTATCGATGTAAGCAATAAAAAATTAAAGTAAGCACAAAAACTGAAAAAAAAAAACAGAAAAATCGAAAATTGAGTAGATGCATCCGGTTTTCGTGATTACCAATTTGAAGGGTATGTTCCTGCAAGTAACTGTTCTAAATTTTATAATATCTGCTCAAACTGTTATTACAAAAAAAAACACCAACAAATTGCCATACCCAAATTCCGAGGACTGTAAAATTCTTATCAGTATAAATAGGACACGACACCAGTTGTTATTTAAATTAACATCATTATATAGGTCATTTTTGAGGTTCAAATATTGCTTCATTTTTATGGAATACCTTGTATGTATATTAATGACGACGACGGTGAGATAAAATATTCACGTGCTAAATAAGTAGCACAGGTGAACCCTTGTAATTACCCAAAGGCGAAATTCCACTACTCCTAAATTACCGATATTATCAACAAAAGTATTTCACATGGTACATGTGCTCAAATGGCAGTTCATACAATATTAAAATTATAGATGGGTTAACATTTTATAAAATATAGGAGACCCCACATGCATAAAACGAAGACTATTTCTTTTAAAGACGAAACGGTTTACAAATTTAAACAGGTGGTAATACTAACCGATCTTTTGTATAAAGGCATGTTCTTTCGATATTAAAAAATAATTCTATATAATATATAGGGTGTCAATTTTAGAACTGAAAAAGTTCTCACTCAAAACCGTTTCGATGGTTCCTAGGGGGAACCAAAATGACATAGTAAGTAACAGCCCTCCACCCACCCTTGAAGCCCCAGTCACCCCAAGTTGAAAATTTTAAATGGCACGACCCTACTTGTGGAAAGCTCGTTGGAAAGCTCATAACAAGCGCTTTTCAAAAATGTCATACAACAGCCTATACAGGGTGCGCCAGAACTCGCGCCCTAGAGAAAAATGCCAAATGCCGGGGGCAATAGGTCGCCAAAAAGTGCACCCGAAGAAGTAATTTTTGCTTGCATAAGAAAGTTATTACGGCACCTCAAGCTGTAATTGAAAAATTATATCCGTTGCTAGGTTACGAAAATAACACCAATTTGCCCAGAATTTTAAAAAAGAGCTGGTCCACTGTAATTTTGAGTTTGACATTTATTAATTTTCGTGATGTGGGTTACATAACCTGCTAGTTTCCAGTATTTTTCTCGCTGAAGAGGTTGTACACGAGTATAATGAGACAGAATTGTTAATTATTATCAACAATTATCAAAAATTATTTTGAAACATTCTGGAAATTCCTGATGAACCGAATTCTCTAAAACTTCTTCAGAGATATTGTTCCTTCTCAAGTTTTTCTTCGATCTGATACAGATTAACAAACCCATAAATTAATTTTAGAGCTTGAAAACTAGTGCATTATTTTTAAGAAGCAACTGAGAGTGAGAGACCAGAAAAACATGAAGAAGTACGCAAGTTTCTTTATCTACTTTAACGCAAAATTAACAGAAAGATGTAATTTTTATAAGAAATTGTGTTTAAATAACACAGGTTACAAATTTTAATATTAAAATTCTACTCTCGTATTTAGGCATTTTTGCCTAACGTAACTCCCTTTCTAAAATGTACATTTTTCTGTTAATTTTGCATTAAAGTAAATAAAGAAACATGCGTACTTCTTCATGTTTTTCTGGTCTGTCACTCCCACTTGCTTCTTTATTTCAAAAGGACAATGCATTAGTTTTCAAGCTCTAAAATTCATTTATCGGTTTGTTAATGTGTATCAGATCGAAGAAAAAGTTAAGAAAGAACAATACCTGTGAAGAAGTTTTAGAGAAGTCGGTTCATCAGGAATTTCCAGAAGGTTTCAAAATATTTTTTCATAATTATTAATAATAATTAAGGAGATTCTGTCTCATTATACTCGTGTACAACCTCTTCAGCGAGAAAAATACTGGAAACTCGCATGTTATGTCACCCACATTACGATAAATGTCAAACGCAAAATTACAATAGACCAGCTATTTTTTAAAATTCTGGGCAAATTGGTATTATTTTCGTAACCTAGCAACGGATATAATTTTTCAACCACACCTTGAGTTGCCCTTCTGGGATCAAAAAGTCTGTCTATCAAGCAAGCGTAGAAATTTAGAACGTATGTCTGTGGAAGATAAAATGTCACAATGACAAATGAGAAATGTCAAAATAATTTTTATGTAAATTATAACAGGAAACCGTGGTTCACGATTTTTATGGATAAACAACACCAACAAAATCTTATTTTAGGATATTTTGAGACGTTTCATAGAATAATTCAATTTAATTAGCTTAATGTTTTAATTTTTATAAAATATTTTTTTGACATCTAGATAACATACGAACTGTCATGCAACATACGTCCTCAACTAGGACGACTACTTGATAAAAGACTTTTTTTTTGATCGCACTGAAGTAAGCTTTAGAAATTAGGGTCAGGATTGCCAACATATTCAGTAATTGTGGATCACTTTGGTATATTGTTTTATTAGAAATAGATGCGTCGTTTTTATGGTGGGTCTGTAGGGTTTAATGACTGTGCGCAAGAAGGCCGACAACTACAGATCAAACCTAAAATATTTATTTACATTACAAGCTACGAAAGCTTACTATTAGGTGCGAGATGTTTTTGAATGGCCGACGCGAAGCGTAAGCGTAGCCGAGGTTATTCAAAAACTCTGATATAAAATTAACAGGGTGTTCCGTTTTTATTGTTACAAATTTAAACAGGTGATAGGATATTCAATTCTAAGACAAAAGTTTCCTATAAACATGTATCGAAAAATGCTTGGTAAGGAAGCTACACCCCCTGGAAAGGGGCTAATATGTTTTTGCTAATATTTCAGAAACCATTTAAGATACAATTACAAAATGTGGTACAGAAGATAACCTTTATACACCTAAACGAAGTCAAACATCAAATGTCGAAATTTTTAATCAGGGGCGTACGAAACTGGGGGAGTTTTTAAGGTAAAAAAATACCCTGTTTAGTTTGGCTTTAGTTTCTCGGTACTTTCAGCAACAAAATCTTAAATTCGATAGTTTATCACAGAAAAGTCTCTCTTGTGTCGATACGACTTATTGTTTTTGAATAAAATTAATTTAAAATTTATGTTACACACCAATACAACATTCAAATAAATCAGAATTTACAGAATAATAAAAGCAATTCATATTTTTTAATCAACCTCAACTAATTAACATTACATTACAGTAACAATAATAACATTAATTAAATGAATTTGCCTGTCAATGCATAACTAAAGAAACTAAAGCCAAAATAGATAGGGTATTTTTTTACCCTAAACCCCACCAGTTTCGGACGCCCCTGATTAAAAATTTCGACATTTGATGTTTGAATTCGTTTAGGTGTATAAA